GATTTCAGTGGTGACCCTAACTAAAGTACTAGAAGAGCTACACTATTCCCAGGCGACCAACTATCCTCATTACAGACTTTTCGTTTACAACAATTAAGTCAATGCTTTCAGATTACGTTTCACCACCACCTGACATAAAATGTATACTTACCGATCTTTGGCCCTGCTATTTGGGTGTCGTGTTGACGTGTTCATTATGAATTTATGACTATAACGATGGGTATCACTGACCATCGATTGAAAACGGCAGTTGCATTCATTAAACACACATGATACGTGCACGTATGTGGGCTAAATACTGAAGTGAAAACAATCTATGAGATTATTTCAGACGGTAAATGTAAGTACTGAACAGCATTCATATAACATTCATACTCAAAGATAGCACTTGTTACAGCTACATGTAGCACACTTCATTGTATTTAACATGTTCCAGTTGGCATTCATATTTTCTATGAATGCCATCTGAAAGCATTTCAATGCTGAAATATGAACAATAACTGACTTGGACATTAAACGTAAACGTACGGTTCTGTATTGTGAGGACACCAGTCACATAGTTGGGATATGTGAATTTTATATCAATACCTTGCCTCCTGCATTATTTATTCAGTTTCCATCAATGTTTTCAACGTCAACATCGATTCACAATTAACGTCACATAGTTTAAAAGTCTGATATTGTTTAATTTTTCATAAATATGTTATATCGCCGATGTTTCATTTCTACCTTGAATACTTTTATACAATACATAATTATGCAGGATTGATCATTTTCATTGTGTTTAGCGATGTTCCTGGGTCATGTTTCCAATATAAAATCTATATTCCAGGCAAAACTTTTGTAAATTAGCTTGCTGTCCGCATAATGTTTCGTCAGAATGCAGTGTGTTTGCGATAACTTATTAATAATCCCCGAGCAGTAGATATAAGATTTCACAGGTGAATATTACTAAAAAAAACAGCTGTAGCTGATAAAAAAATGCATCATCTTTAATTCATGTAAAAATGGTAACATGCATAAATACAGTGAACCCAACTTCCTCTCACATATATGTCTGACCCAGAGTTCGTGAGTGTATGCCGTCTTTGCTTTGGTAAAATCCGTGCTATAGTCGGGCAAACAAAATATTAACTCCTATTGTCGTCTTTGGGATAACGATATAGGATCGATTGCTTGCATTAGAAGATGAATCACTTTTGAAAATAATACAGGTCAATCAGATTACTTTTTAATATTGGACAGTAATAATTCCTCTAGTGGACACAACTGTTATAGCTTGCTTTATTTACACTTCTGTTCTGTATATGGTACAAGAGCTGGGAAACCCCTCTACACATTGGATAAGGCTAAACCATCAACATGTATTCGAAGTGAATTTAGATTTTCGGTTTTGGGAGGGGCCGGAGGGGGGAGGGGCAGTTACCCCATCACTTTACCTCTACTATCAGAGCAACTCCCCTTTGCGAACTCTACTATTCAATAGAGGGTGAAGAGAAAAATTGGATATCACGTAAGAATCATAGACATCGTGGATACTGCGAAGTTAGTGTTGCTTTTCCTCGAACAGCCAATGTTCCGATACGCCACATATATCGACTCTTTCATTACTTAGAGCATCATGTAAATGAGAGGCCGCTGACATAATTCCGGTTACATTACAAGTCAGGATACGAAGAGAATTCATGAAAAAGTAATGCAAAATATTCAACGTTATTAGACATACTAAAACGCTTCCTCATTGTGAACAGATTCTTCTTACTCAAAGGCATTGTCACCGGTAAACTTGTTCCTACTTAACCACTTCCGGCTTCTGACACCTCTAGGCCAAAACTCAGGCTTCTTAGTTTTAAAGTTGTCAGATGACAGAATATTCACACGAGCAGAAACTGAACCCCATCTACGGCTTTTGAGTAAACGAACAAACGTAACAACCAGGCCTTTCTTTTCTAAATAAGATTGTATATCATCTGTGGTGCATGTATCCGACATGCCGCTCATGAACATTCTGACAAAGCCACCAGTATCGACGACGTTATCCCTAGTCAAGTCTACTGTCTCCGCGACACGACCTTCATTTTCCGGGCAACACATTCGGCATATTAAGGTTTCTTTCTTAAATGATCTTTTGTTGAATGGACATTTTCCGAGCATACGCTGCGACTCGATTTAATGTTCCTTAAACAAAATGGAGAATTCGCAGTATCTGTATTTATTGAATGATTTTGGAAAGGGCGCTCAGCACTGATTGTCTCAACCATTTTACTGTCGTCACACTGAGTCGTTGGCTGGGGCAAAGAAGCAACCGAAGATACTCCACTTTTGTTGGATAATTGACCGAGTCATGTAAGTTGCTAGTGTGATTCTTGCTGCGAGTTGAGGGAGCTGAGATCTCACTATATGGATAGCAAGCTTTCGGGTTGCTTGACGCGGTATCATGGCTATGACAGTCAACTTCATTTAGCACAAAATCTTTCATTTCGGAAAGCTGTTGACCAATGCATTACGTCAAAACCCTCATAGCTATATCAGTTCTGGCCTGATATCCGTTGACAAGATCTTGTACCGAAATCTCTGTTTTCCGGACACGAGACTTTAAAGAAGAGATACCATCGAGGGCAGAATTCAGTTTTGACGTATACGATTGAATAACCTTATCACACACAGACAGTTTGTCTCTAACTTCGCGAACCTCAGAGCGAGTATCGTTCACTTTAATGAAACGATCATCATCAATGCGCGAAAGACCCAAACTATAATTCTCGACTGACTGAGAGATTGACGAAAGTTCAGAGGATACCGATTTCCTATGACGTTCTAATCAAACAACTTTCGAGGATATAAGATAAATCCTGTCAGAAAATTGACGAAGAGCAGACCCATTATGTATGTCTTCAGAAAAACTCAATTTTCACATGAATTGCAGAATCATAGAAGTTTAAAATCGACTTGTAATGTTATGTAATTTTGTGGTTTGAAACATTCTCATATTGTTGGATCTAGCATATGGAATTGTCCCAAGGCCAATTTCTATAGAACGTTATTATCGCCATTGCTACTTCTTGCATTTACATCTAACAGTTGCAATGTTTCGTCTCGCACTTTCAGGATTTACTAAGTTAATGTGCAGTTAACAAAGTCTAGAACTAACCAACGGACTAAATATGACAGCAATATTCGCCGTTAAATAAAAATAAAATCAAAACGATCATGAAACGTTAGTTTAACTTGGACAAAACGAAGCCTCATAACAGTTAACGCCATCCCTAAAGACAGTCATGATCAAAATAAGAAGAACAAATTAGCCACCATTAATGAAAATTGTCGGAACAAAGAACTGAAATTTTGCCATTGTTAACAGATTATAATGAAATAATTCCCCATTGCTATTCAAATATTTCGAGAAGTAATAACATATTTCATTGAATAAGGTTTTTTTTAACTTTTTTTCAAAATTGCTTTATGAAGTTTGTTATCATTGTTAACACAACCGTTAAAAGTACACTATGCTTTTGAAGAGTGGAGACCAAAAGGTACGCATAACTTACCAGGTGTTGTAGCATGGACATGACAAGACTCGCGCATAGTGATGGTGTTGTGCATTGTACGAGTCATGTCCATTCTATTTACGGCGTCAACATGGTAATGACGTCATCGTTATTGTAACGTTATTGTGGTTAAAACAAGAGGCTCAATGGGCCTGCATCGCTCACATGGTATTAATCTCACACTTGTACGTCATCATGAACTGCCCGTGAAATTTATTAGATATTAATCTATATTAAAAGCTGTGTATTTGTTAAGCGCAAATAAAAAGAAATTCGTTTGCTCGTGAATACGCTGTTTAACTAATGATATTCCTATTAGTTACATAAATTCAGTAGTCATTGTGGAAAATTAAAACTTCACCGGGCACATAAATCAAAGAGAAATCACGACAATTGCCTGAAACGGACGAAAATTAACTCATTCACCCCTAACGACACATTTAAACTCTGCCTGTTCAAAGGTTGGAATAGTTCATTATTGAAGTTCAGGGGTGAATGAGTTAATTATTTGGGGAAACCAAACAGAAAAAAAAAATCTAACCTAAATTCTTTTCAACGGTTTCTTTCAGTTAACTACACATTGAATCACAACGTTGGTGAGGCAGCATCGACGGACGACGGGAGGTAAGCGACATAACCAGAAATGAAACCCCTGAATGTATTTGAGATAACTACTCTAGAATTTTAAATTTTCAGCTAGCATATGGAGTAATTAAAATAGCTTTTTGGAATACCCGAAATATATGTATCTCCGTCCACAAATAGTTGCAAATCACTCACAAGTGTGAACTGTATGGATTGAGTAACAAAGAGGTTTCCCGTTTGATTTAAAACAAAGCAATTCCGTCTTTGCGTATTGCAGAGTTATCTTCTCTTGAGAGCAGGTATTGATTGTTACGCCGTTGGTTCGTGTGAGATAATTACGTCGTTTTCTCAAAAATTGGTGACGTTACTCTCACAAACAAATGACGTAACCTGCTCTCCAGAGAAGATAACTTTGCAATACGCAAGGACGGAATACCAAATTTACAAATATAAGTAACTTAGAATAGCAAATTAATCAAGTTTTTATCTTTATTTGCCTCTTCCCAGCCATTGGTAGAATAACTCATTACATTCATTGTTAAGACAAAATGGCATCAAAAACATATTTTTAATCAGACAAAAGTTCATATTACTGAAAGTATATACTTATTTTTTTCCTGTGCAGTAGGATGACCGTAAATAATGCTATTACAAAATAATAAATGCATTCAAACAACACAACTGCCAAAATTGTGTACAATTGTCAACGTCTTTACCTGGTGAGGTTGATGACGCGGGTCTGCACGATAAAAGCGGGTACTGCATGAAGTAATATAAATCAAATGTTATTATAAAGTTCACTGGATAAAATGAAACGGAATGATTCCCATTTTACCGTTACCTATACATTAAATACAACTCTTGATATATTGTTTAACTCTTTTATTATAAATGATGTACATGTACACTACAGTCCATAAAAAGACTGCCCTGAATATGTCATGGTATGTAAAAGTCTGCCCTTTGCCCTCCACTTGGGGATATCAGAGTGAGCTTAGTATGTCACCTACCTGTTAACACTTGTTGGTAGAATTATGGAAGAGACAACGCTTCAAAACATATATCAGATGTATTTTTAACCATTAAAGTTGATAATTGGTTAGCGACGTTGAACTTTTATCTTAAATTAAAACCATTTATATAAGAAAGGATTTATATAGGATAATTGATACAGTTGTCCCCCGATACGCAGAGATGGTATTACTCACGCTGATATCCCATGTACTTGTGTATTATATGACACATAGTTTACAGCAATACTATACAGCATTTAAGTACCTCAAATAAAATAATTCATGAGATTCAAAAACGAAATATCTGTGGATATATTAAATGCTCAAATTTACAGCAAACATCAACTGAGACATGCAACATACAAAGGTAATATTGCTTAGTGCAAAACCGGAATCTTATAGTATGAAATGTGACTACAACATTCCCTTTAATAGCGCCTTTAGAGGGAATATATGATTAGAGCGTCTAGATTTAGCATCCGCGTATCATCTATTGGTACACATCAACGTAATTAGTAGACCGGACCACCCATGTGGTCAGCACATTCAATACATGTCATCACCCATATGTTATCTTATATCAATTTAAATTATAAACGAGTTCTTCAGTTTTCTTTTCCTAAAACACAATTAACAACCTTCCTTGGGACAAGATTTTACTAAATGTCAGTCACAGCTCTTAACTGGTTTAAATAAGAAATAACCGATGGATTTAAAAAACAAATATGACCAGCGGGTACTGACATTGCTGGTGATGCCACGTCATCATTTCCTTTCGGCGCAATAGTGGTAATTGTTGATACATGTAAAAAATACTAGCAAAACGTTCGCAATATCTCTCCTTTCCATATCAACAGGAACGTAATAACACAATATGACCTGTTTGCTTATGGCAAAACGAAATATCTTAGAATAACACGTTGCTTAATACAAACCAATATCATGTAACCAAGGCCTCGTCTTTTAGAGCCCCTTGACAATATTTTTCTCAAGCCTGTTAATACGTTCTCTTATAAAGCAATTATTTTATTTTCATTTCATCTTTATTATGCTACTGTCGATGACATAAGATCAGTCAAAAATTATGTATTCAGTTTACTACATAATTGAGGAGAGACGTATCGAAATCGCGAGTTTTATTTAAACTTGTTCCAAGGTAAAAAGTTATATAAAAAAAACATAAATGAAGACGTTTGAGTCATACATTCAAATAATATATAAAATGTAGATAAGCAGATATATCACCGCAGCTAATATGTAAATACACATATAGTATACAAGTGTTTAAACTGAGAGGCTACATTGAATGTAGAACTGTGAAATTGTATTTTTTAAAAGGAATCGTTGGTTTTCTCGAATATGATTGAGTATTACTATGGAATGAATCTGGTGGGTAAGATCAAGTAATGGAAATCCAATTCAGAAAATTGAGTTCAATAGCTACAAAACGTCTACGTAGATTTGGGATGTCATTTGTAAAACAGATCTTGCAAAGTTAAATCAGAGGAACTAGCTGTGTATACAAAGTCGTGTTAGAGACAGTATGTGGTTAAGTGTGTGCCGGAATAGGTGATATTTAAAGACACAGAATGTGAGTTTGACCAACATGTGTGTTACATGAGGTACCTACACGTACAGGTAATACCGGTATAATATGTAAACAATTTGACAATAAAATCTAATATTTCTTTTCAGAAATGTTGGCAGAATTGCTTAAAACATACCTAAAATGAAAATATTAAGTACATGTATAGTCATTATTATATAAATCTTTTTGAAAGATAACATTTGACATCCTGACCTTCATTCCGAAAATCTTACACGAAAAGGGCGACTCAATGTACTCAATGTAGGGGAAAATTGAGGAAAATTGTGAAAATACATGACTTTTAATGAAAATTCTCAGGCTGGAGGGTTTCCTGAAACCCAAAAGAACCCCTTTGGATCCGCCACTGCACTACAACAGAACTATAGATATATAGAACTAGACCGAGAAAATCATATTCTGCCACGTCTGCAATGTAAAGACATTTTCTACTGGTTCATACCCATTTGTTATATTCAAACTAACCTTGTGCGTTAATGCGTATAACACATTTATACGCATTCACGCACAAGGTTTGTTTGAATATAAAAAATGAGTATGAACCAGTAGAAAATTATCGATCTAGTTCTATAGTTCTGTTGTTTAATCAACGCTTAACAGCAAGAACACGGCCACTGGCTGCAGCAGTTAAAAATTATGACATCAGCTAAACTTGGTGAAATGAAATCGGGGCATCAAGAGACAAATATTGGACGTCCAAAACAGTCTAATTTACAAAGTGTTAATGACTGGATGAGGTAGGTCACTTCGGCAAATAGATACCGAAAAGACATAAAAGTACCTCAAATATTTGTTTCCTGTACAGTAGTAGAAGATATTTTTTGTGTGTATTTTGGTGGGAAACATTCTTTATTATAACTCGAGTTATGTATTCCCCCAACATTTTTTCAACGACAAATATTACATCATACCAGAGACGTATTATACGTCTCTGATCATACTGCATGTATGGATCTCTGAAATAAGGTATTACTGTGCTATTTAATTGGTGTTAAACGCACATACTAGACTAACATCATATGTTTTTGGCACTGGAGAGACATCCAGAAAATATCACTAAACCAGCACTATATTATTTCAGACACTCGATAGACTAGAGACAAGCAAAATATAAACTAAACGTGTGATACAGGCATCAGGAAGACAGTAGTCAAATAAAATAAGGTTCGACACTGTTCACTTAAAATAATATATTACTATTACATAATACGTTGGTTGTATTATTGCCACTAAACTGACTAGAGATTAATTTATGCTAATGTGCCAATGCCATTGACCGCAGACATTTCTGTTATACACTGTACCAGTAAAACACCTAGAGCGAATATGTTGTTTTTTCCACATTACTCGGTGAAATAAAAGGGCAAGCGTCTTTCCACCTGCTGCATTAGTACACAAAATAAATGTGCGTTGCATTACCTGCAGTGATAATGACACTGAGAGGACTAGAGTAAAATATGTAAAATAATCCGTGTAAATGTCTCTGACGTTCTTGCTTAATTATATAAACATAAACAATCGCTGTACTACGTGTACTGGCGTCAACAAGAGTCATGTATGGAACTGTACACGAAATGAAAGTTTGCAGGAACTAATCATACTAAAGCGTAAAAAGAATAATTATTTACGAAAATGTTGCTGAAAATGTTCCATCATTGTAACTTATATCGAAATATTGCTGTGCTCATGGCACTAAACAGCCAATAGTATAAAAAAAGGACAACAATATGTGTTAATTTCATTGACATATTCGCTATATTATAATAAAAACTAAAATTATGCTGTGTTACTGACACTAAACAGACTAGATACAATATAACAAGTATTTATTATGATCAATGCTTGCACTAAACAATTACTTTTGGCATCGCTCTTTTTGTAGCAGCAGGATATACTGTTTAAGTTAAGCAATATAGCGGTCAGTATTACAACAACTATGGCAAAAGACCCTTTTCATGTACTATCAATACACTTTCCGCAACGTAAATAAGTTGCAAATTCAACCACCATAGTAGATAAATGAAATAATGTGTATATATGTTGCCTGGACAGCATATAATGTAATGAGTAAACACATATTCAGGGCCAAGTTTGTTCATTTATCTATTTATATCAATATCCCTCAATGATATATCAAGTTTTATTTATACAGACAATGTGCGTAGTAAACGTGTTGCAATGTTTCAAGACTAACTGGTCCAAATTATGACAGAGTAAGTAATTTGTATTGTTTACCTATACAACGGTGTGACGACATTGTATGTTTATAATTAAATCACTCTACCAGGGACGTGTTGCCTATCGATAGAGAGTGCATATACACTCTATCGAATAGGTAACAGGTAGGGGGTAGATCTAGCCCACTCTCCCGTTGGGTCAGTATAAGTTCACACAGATGACCCAGCTGGTGTCCCACTCGTCTCTGTTCATGTTTTGGGCTTTACTGATTTAAATTGCTTCTTTGATTTGTCTCGTTTTTGGTATGTTGTTCCCTTTCAACTATTTTTGCATTGTCCCAATAGACGATGTGATTTTGGGTGTTAGCGTGATCTGTTAATGCCGATTTATTGTACTGGGTGGCGGATGTTTTGCGCGTGGTTCTGGTTAGTTCGTGTTGCTCATTTAATTTTCTCTACGCCCTTTTGATGTTCATTCAGACGTGTAACAAGTTTCCTCACAGTTTTTCAATAGATGACTTCTAAAAATTGTTGCACGGAATTGATATTATTATTTTCTAGAATGTCAGTCTTTGCACAAGTAACTGTCTATCGATAGGCAAAACGTCCCGGAGCGAGTGACATATGACATTTCGTCACAGCGTTGCAGCATGTACATACAGGTAAACAATACAAATCGCTCACTCAGTCATAATTTGACAAAGAGACCAGTCGGTCTTGAAACGTTGTGACACGTTTAATACGTTCCTTGTTCGTGTATAAATTTAAACCTTATTATTAAATATTTCCAACTGATGAATTATTGAAGATCTTTCAATGATTTTTACTCCTGACTACCACGTTTGATTGGCCATTGACGATTAAGTACAATTTTACTCCTGACTACCACGTTTGATTGGCCATTGACGATTAAGTACAATGCCTGATTAGCATATCCATGTTAGACAAGCTCTGACCATTGTAAATCAACTTCCACATCACTGAGGATTAAGCATTTATACATAAATGTTAAATACATATCAACACTAATATCAGTAAAACTACGGTAAAAATGGAATGCTTATGATGATAGTTTTTCTTTTAATATTATTGTTTTCGATAGAAAGCGGTTAATTAATACATCTGTGTATACACACACAACAAATGTGTAATAGAATAGTATAATCAAAAGGGAATGGTAATATCACGAAAATGTTATTCAATACAAGCTCCATCAGCAGAGTTAAACAACAGTTCATATCCATCTTTAACAGAGTTATAAAAATCCAATGAACATACTAAAAAAATATGTAAACTAGTATGAAACAAACTTTGTAAAAATATAAAAACCAGGTGTATAATTGATTTAGTAATTAAATGTTATTGAAACAGAACAGGAATATTGAAGTATTATTTTTACACCACGAAACTTTCGCCTAATGAAATGTTCGCCTTTCATCGGTATAATCCATATTTACCCACTGTTAAAGTTTGCCCTTCACGTGAAATTATTATATAGTGTACGCCGCCTACTAAAATTCGTTGTCACAATGAAAGTTTCAAGATGGTAAAATTGGCCTGGTATGTAATGGTTTATGAAGGTCGGTATTTATTTATGTCTTGGGAGACGATACGAACATATTCAAAACATTTGACCAGAATATTTACACCTAATGAATTATAGTTGCCCTATTTCTTGATGATTAATGTTCGTGAACCTTATGTTGCTTGCACAATGCAAATCAACTATATAATAATGTAAAATTAATTGGTCCATTTTTTTTTTGAATTTATTGAATTTATTTCTGTTTCATTAGTCACATTAATGTTGGCTTTAACATGTAATAAAGGCCACTTTGATAAATTTGATGATTTCAATATACACATGTAGATAAATAGGTTTCATTGACATCGGTTTCATTCAAAGTGCTGCTTAAGATAACTTTCTCTGCATCACTTTCAATCCATTTGTACACGAGATTCAAAACGGTTTTTTTTAAATTTAATTTAATGATAAATTGTTTGTGAATCATCTATCAATACAAATACATACTATTAACAATGTGTTTAGAATTCATCACAATATTTAGAATTAATAGATAACATGCATGTCTAAATCAAGATTCTGTTAACACCGATTACCACATTTTATATTAGTTTTTATACAATAAACGTGCTGGTACAAACATGCTTATTTTTAAATCTTGTTTTTAACAAAAGTTAGAGAATTAAGTCTACAGCTAGCAAATTTTCGAGGTTCATTATGAAAGAGTTTCAATGAATGCTTTTTAAAGTATCAAGAGTTGATATAATTTTAAAATAGATCATGTATGTAACTTACTGTTGTAAAATTTGAAATATCTTATTTGCTACCTTACCTTATTGTAACATGAAGATTCAAGGAGATATGCTTCGCCGTTAATTCTTTCCTGCGACACGGAAAATTTATTGCAAAGTGCTAATTGTTTGTTATCACATAGACTTGGGTTCCTTATAAACATGATTTACTGAATAAAAGTTATTTTTATAACTTATCATGGGGTTCCTTTATTAATAGAACCAATTTCAAACTTCCATCTCAGTTTGTTATAAACATGCCTTACTACTGAGAATATCTTTCACACTTGATATGTTTATGTCCCCAACAGCCCCTCGACCTCACCTGGTACCAGGAACATACAATGTAAAAAGGTGTTGCTTTGCTTAATTTGAACAAAATGTCTATTGTATGTAACAGATCTGATAAACTAAAAAAGGTTTGAATCGTTTTTGTTCATATCATTTATGTTGAAGACCATGGTGTGTCTGTTATTGTCTAATGATGCTGAGTGTCAGATTGATGGTGTCTACATTGAGTCTAATGTAGATTACTGATGGTGACCATTGTGTGTCTGTAATGGCATACTGTGAAATCACTAATTTTTATGGGGATTGTAATTTCGTTCATTTCGTGGGTAATCTCCATCCACGTATTTATAAGTCCATGAGGTAATTGCAAGTTTGACGTCGAGCAATTCTGTTTGAGTGGGTACGCATAGTCAACGAATTCATGTATCCACCAAAATGGTGTTTTGTCAGAAAACCATGAAATTTGACACTCACGAAAATATTGGACTTCACAATATGCTTGCGTCCATGGTGTAACTGATCTGAACTTAATGATGGTGTTCATGGACTTTTGTCGATTTTCATGGTGCATTTACTACTGATGGTGCCCATGGTGTGTCTGTGCCCATCTTGCTCTCTGGTCCATCACTTGCCCCTCCAGTAGTCGTGAAAGGCAAATCCCAAATAACTGAAATATGCAATTGAAATATATTCAACAGTCAACATTCTACAGATATTATTTTCATGCAAGGGTTGAAGAACTTTGGCATCAAACTAAGAATATAAGACTCTTTCATGCCTAGGGGTGTAGGATAAGAAGATTTCACCCAAGTGTTTCAAATTCGGTAAAATCCAAGGCTTGTTTCACAGATTTGAAAATCCTGAGGTTGGAATTCCTTATCCTACATCCATGGGCATGAAAGAGAAATGTTTTCTCATTTTAATGACTAGAATAAGCTCATGATTGATAACCACATAACAAAACATTGCAGTTTTTGCATTGTGGTACCGGAATGTTCCCGATTTTGTAACATAACACCATTGTTATTAAACTGTGACGTCACATTTGTAAAATGAGGTGTAAGATAGAAATGTCTTACACCCTCTCTTACCCTGGAAAGTTCTGTCATACCTGCACAGAAATTGAAAAACTTATTCTGAATGTTAAGTTTACATCAGTTTTGGCAATGAAACATCATACAGGAGAAATCTTACAAGTGACGAACACGGCATCAACATAAATAATTGATTAAATGTCATCTAATTAACATCATAGCTGAAACAGGTTTAAATTGATGTTGTTGTTTTAGATAGACACATTCTGGGGTTCTTCAAATTGAAGGAACCCAGATAAACTAATGAAAACATATGTGGTCAGGCAGATAACCTAATCTGTTTTACATTTGACATGAGATTTGTAGAGTAATTAAACTTGAGACCTAGGTTTAACTGAAATGGTTACTTGAGAAATGTGTGATCTAGGTTTTATTGAAATATTTACCTGAGAAATGTGTGATCTAGGTTTTACTGAAATACTTACCTGAGAAATGTGTGATCTAGGTTTTACTGAAATATTTACCTGAGGAACAGCCAGTCCAATTACGATGCCCCCCATAATTGGGAGTTCTTTCTCGGCCAGACGTATTCCAGCATCCACACATCCAATGGTGTAAATTATAGAGATATCTCCGGACTGCAAAATGATATAAAACTTATTCTTACTTGAATATTGCAAATATTCTGGCACATTCAAATTTTATTGTATGGGATGCAGCTTTAAAAGTTGCTATAATCCCCTTATTATACGTTGGACTGTTAAGAACCCTGATTACATTATTGTATCACAAAATTATCTTGCTAACTTTATAATTCCCATCAACAATTGGTCATGTAATTTACAATAAATCAATTGATCAATAAAATGATACTTGTATAATTTTGTTGAATTCTGTAAAAGTTGAAATTTTCATGATGTGGAAATGCTCTTGTTATTCCCATTGAGTAAATTAGAGTGAAAATATTGAACCACGAATATTTATTTATATATCATATAGATTAAAGGTTAATAAAATATATAGATTTCAAAATAGTTGCCAATGCAAAAATGTCCTCACCACGATCAGTTTAACCCTTTCAACACTGTAGACCATAATGGACTCGTCCAGATCAATGCATGGTAGGGTCTACTAAAGTTACATAGGGGCGAAAGGGTTAAAGAGTCAACGTGAAAGTTACATAGGGGCGAAAGGGTTAAAGAGTCAGCGTGAACATTTCCACATGCAAAAATTACTCTTTTACAGTATTTTTATTGATTGAATAATTTCAAAACAGAAAGTGGAGTATATGTAGACTGCAGTCTAAAATTAAAAATCGCCAAAATATCATTGAATTTTTTATATCCACTTACCTCTTCTAACACATCCTTGCCACATAAAATATTAGGCACTCCAGGCTATAAACAATAGAACAAAACACTTCAGACATTCTATCTGGGTAAATACAGAACTTATCTTACAACCTATTACACAAATAGAAACAGAGTCCTACTAGCAGGATGCTCCTTTTAACCAAGAGGCCTTAACCCTTTCACTACTGTAGACCATTATGGACTCATCCAGATCAATGCATGGTAGGGTAAATTAAAGTTACATAGGGGTGAAAGAAAGGTTAATGCTCACATGTGATTTATTACCTAATTAAATGGTGAAAAGATAAACAGACACTATTAGAGGTACTACTGCATATACTATGACACTTCACAATGTTTACATCATTCTGATCACACTGAAACTTCATATTACACTTTCAAAATGACTGCCATATTATTGGATTTCAAATCTATATAACACAATCTCTCGGGACTACATGCTGATCATTTCACATAAGTTTCAGCATAAATTACAAGTAGATTCTCCAAATTAGCCATATTGCATTTCAAATGAGCTCTACGATAACAAGAATTGGTCAGGACCAGATGCTGATAAATCCAACTGTGTTTTAGTGAAATTCCTTCAGAATAGTTTGAGTTTAAACTACATACTGTCAAATCAGTTCCAAAATTACAAGAACTGGTCAGGACAATGAACTGATCATTCTAACTTTCAGTAAAATTTGTTTGATAGAATTTGAGTTTAAGTTTAAGACGGTTGTTGAGTGTTCTAACAATCTGAGCTATGTGGTCGTGGCTAGTCATCAAGCCCAGTTCTGCTGCAGATGTAAACACAAGTAAAATACTTCTCCCCTGACTACTGGTAATACTAATATTTGTTGTTCATTATATCCATGACAACCATAAATGTAAACCTGATAACAAGACTTTCATGTCATACAGTAGGTCAATTTAATATGCATCATTACATAGGTTCATACCGTGAGAACGTCAGGATCTCGACAACAGGAGTATGGCACACTGCAGCGTAGAGGACTCGGGTTGTCCTCAGTACAGTTGAAGTACTGGTTACTGTTCCAGTCCCGGTAACCATTCACACCACAGCAGTATAGCTGCAAAACGAGCACAATACAATTAACATATCTGTAACAGCAACACATGTATGTCTGTAGGAACAGCACATAATCAGTATACAGTACGTCTATAAGAACAGTACCACTACTGTCAAATAGATCATCAAATGTCAATTAAAATTTAAAAGTCATTAAAAAAGGGCCATTACTTTTGTACACCTTTAATGATGTGCCAAATAATTGTTTTGCTACTTAATTTTATTTAAAAGGATTTTTTTTTTTAAAGATTTATAATAACTATTATTTTATAAAGTAATGACCATTAATATTCTATTACACCGGCTGATTTATTTATTTCATGGTCATTACCTTTCTTTCAGTGTAAAAATATTAATGACTATTAAAAAAAAGTAATGCCATCAAAAGTGTACAAAATTAATGACATCATTAATTATGTGCCATTAATTACTTAAACATGTTTAAGCAGGTCATTAATTTCAGTTAATGAAAATTGATGGCAACCTTATCATTACTTTTGAACAAAAATAAATTTTTCATTACTGAAAATTAATGACTATATGTATCCTGCAATTAATCCCAGTGGCCCAAAAATATAAACTTTGACTCAAAGTAGAGGGTGCGCTTATATGTGTAAGAACAGCACATAATCAGTGTGTATATCATGTCTTTAAGAACAGCACACTATCAGTCTATAGAATGACTGTTAGAACAGCACATAATGAGTATGCATACATAGTTTATCTTAAGAACAGTACATACTCTGTATATATACATGTAGATGTCAGTCAGAACAGAACATAATCAGTATATAGTACGTCTATAAGAACAGTACGAAAACATCATATAGTACTTAAGTAAGAACAGCACATAGCATGTCTGTATGTTTTTAGCCCATAATAAAATATAAGTGTAATCAGAATATACATTTAGATGTCTGTGAGAACAGCACATAATCAGTATATAGCACAAGTGTATGTCTGTCAGAACAGCACATAATCAGTATATAGCACAAGTGTATGTCTGTCAGAACAGCACATAATCAGTATGTAGTATGTCTATAAGAACAGTACATAAACATCATATAGTACTTAAGTAAGAAAAGCACATAATCAGTGTAAAGTATGTCTATAAGAAAAGCACATAATCAGTGTAAAGTATGTCTATAAGAACAGCACATACTCAGTATATAGTATGTTTGTAAGAACAGCACAGTCAGTACAAAAATTGAATGTAGATTTCTGTCAGAACAGCACATAATTGGTATATAAATGCAGATGTCTGTCAGAACAGCACATAATAGGTGTATAAATGTAGATGTCTGTCAGAAGAGCACATAATCAGTATATGAATGTAGATGTCTGTCAGAACAGCACATAATCAGCATATAAATGTAGATGTCTGTCAGAACAGCACATAATCGGTATATAAAAGTAGATGTCTGTCAGAACAGCACATAATCGGTATATAAATGTAGATGTCTGTCAGAACAGCACATAATCAGTATATGAATGTACATGTCTGTCAGAACAGCACATACATAATCAGTATATGAATGAAGATGTCTGTCAGAACAGCATATACATAATCAGTATATGAATGTCGATGTCTGTCAGAACAGCAGATAATCAGCATATAAATGTAGATGTAGATGTCTGTCAGAATAGCACATAATCAGCATATAAATGTAGATGTAGATGTCTGTCAGAACAGCACATAATCAGCATATAAATGTAGATGTAGATGTCTGTCAGAACAGCACATACATAATCAGTATATGAATGTAGATGTCTGTCAGAAAAGCACATAATCAGTATATAAATGTAGATGTCTGTCAGAACAGCACATAATCAGTATCTAAATGTAGATGTCTGTCAGAACAGCATATAATCTGTGTATAGAATGTCTGAAAGAACATTATCAGTATGTATATGGTATGTCTGACATGAATTGTAAAGTAACGCCACATATTTTTGCAATCTAGACTTACCATAGTGTCTGTTACCCTCTATCACTAGTAATTCATGTATATAGATCACCTACACAGTCCCTGTTTTCCTGTGCCTTCTCATCTCCCCTAAATGTTTAAACATCATATTATCTGCTCATTTTACAGGTCTCATTCATAAGCCAGTACACAATTAGTATTTTTCTACATAAAAATATATCACATAAATGTAACAGAGGTACTAGCATACTGTAGCATACTGACAAGATTCTGAAAACTAAATTAAACACTTTCTCAACAGTGAGAATTACCCAGGTTTAGAGATGATTTCAGACCTGACTACAAGGCTGCAGTGATCAATGCCAATCTGATTAAAATCATCTGTTACATGGCTCCGCCTGAACATCTGAATGTGCCGCGGTCAGGGTCACGTTCAAGCGACCTTTAGATGAACCAATCAGAGGCGCGCTGGCAAAAGTTTGCCAGCGAATCTGAATATCATGGTTGATAGATAAATAGCGAGGGGTATCGAAAAGATTAGTTTTCCAAAACAAATATGGCGGCGGGAACTAACGTTTCTACGACGCCAAGGAAAACGTACCCATCGGGTAATAATTGCGTAGGCATGAACACCGCCATACAGTCTTTCTTCTCTAATAAAGCTTCGAATATCTTTTTTCGTTCAGGTTTCAGACGATCAATCTCAAATAACTTCAGAACTTTCGCATCATTCTCATCAATGTCCGCCATATTTGTTACAACTCTGAGCGCCCTTTTGAAAGAGGGTCTCTGATTGGTCAAAATTTAATGAGTATTTATAAATATAAAGGTCACCTGAACGTGACCCTGACCGCGGCACACTCAGATGTTCAGGCGTAGTACAAAGTTAACGAAGCCATGTAACATATGATTTTAATCAGATTGTGATCAATGCATTATTCTGTCTACCTTTTCCTGTATCCAATCAATGGTGCTCTGTCCTCAGACCTGATTACAAGGCTGCAGTGATCAATGCATTATTCTGCCTACCTTTTCTTGTATCCAATCGATGGTGCTCTGTCCTCAGACCTGATTACAAGGCTGCAGTGATCAATGCATTATTCTGCCTACCTTTTCTTGTATCCAATCGATGGTGCTCTGTCCTCAGAACTGATTACAAGACTGCAGTGATCAATGTATTATTCTGCCTACCTTTTCCTATATCCAATAGATGGTGCTCTGTCCTCAGAACTGATTACAAGGCTGCAGTGATCAATGCATTATTCTGCCTACCTTTTCCTGTATCCAATAGATGGTGCTCTGTCCTCAGAACTGATTAAAAGGCTGCAGTGATCAATGTATTATTCTGCCTACCTTTTCTTGTATCCAATCGATGGTGCTCTGTCCTAGCTCAGACCTGATTACAAGGCTGCAGTGATCAATGTATTATTCTGCCTACCTTTTCTTGTATCCAATCGATGGGCCTCTGTCCTCAGAACTGATTACAAGGCTGCAGTGATCAATGTATTATTCTGCCTACCGTTTCTTGTATCCAATCCATGGGCCTCTGTCCTCAGAACTGATTACAAGGCTGCAGTGATCAATGCATTATTCTGCCTACCTTTTCTTGTATCCGATCGATGGTGCTCTGTCCTCAGACCTGATTACAAGGCTACAGTGATCAATGTATCATTCTGCCTACCTTTTCCTGTATCCAATCGATGGTGCTCTGTCCTCAGACCTGATTACAAGGCTGCAGTGATCAATGTATCATTCTGCCTACCTTTTCCTGTATCCAATCGATGGTGCTCTGACCGTCTGGGTCATCTTGGTAACGTGTGATAAGATTTTGTTGGAGGACATCAACCAGGATTTGTTTGACTTTATCTCTGAACACGAATGCTAACACAGCTCCCACAACCAGCAACAGGAATATGATGATCATCGTTATGTAATACTGTAATATCAATTGATACATTATCATTAGAGCATCTTTTAATGATTCTGTCTCCTGACCTGCAACAAAATTATAATAGTCATTTCAGAAATGAAAATTTCCTAAATAGGTCACATGATTTGGCTGGACTCTTGCTGTCATTAGGGGCAGCATGTATACTTTCGGTAAAGGTAAACCAGTGGCAAGCTAACTTCGTTGCAGTGTATGAATGGTATATATAAGTACCCTTTTGTTGAAAATGCAGTAGGGAACCACGTGCACACACTAGTGTTTCAAAATTAGCGTAATAACATGACAGCTAGCTGTCAAATTATCTTCCTTTGTGTACTGGAAGTACACATGCGCCGGCAATTGTTCCTGAAGTTGGACATAATGTCAAAGGTCAAATCTGAAAACAGCTAAGATAAATTTAACACATTTTTCTCTTTCCCTAGAATATTTGCAAAATTTTATTTTTTTGTGCTGTATTTCTACATCAGCCATCAGGTAAGATTTGAATTAGCGATAAAATCAATACAGAGAAACTTTGTTGATATTATTCTAAAATTACTGAATATCAAGTCAAGTTTGGAATTAAATTTTTGCTGCATTTAAACACTGTGTACAACTTGAAATTCAGTGACCTTACTAACATAAGAGAAACACTATGCAATGTATAAGTTAAATCCTTTTGTTGCACATAACTTTTTATACTGAAAACTTACAAATTTGAGAAGACAAATATTTTCTCTAAGAGCTCCGATACAACCAGCATATCCGAGGATGAAAATGATGAATCCGATGATAAAAAAGATGACAGAAAGGTCGAAGATGATGTCATACACTGTCTGGACCTCTTTGTGGTAAAAACGATTTTTTTCTATAAAGGCCCAAACACCAATCCCGATCAGCACACCTCCAAACAACTGAAAATAATAAATTGAGATATGCAATGTATTCACAATGTTGAATATTTCATGAATAATACTGGTTTTGTAGAATTTTAACAAAAACTGTTTTACTAAAATGTATTCAATACAAAAGGATCGATTATCAATGATTATTATAAATCATCATGGAAATAAAGATTACACATTTTACATAATTATATAATAAGATAGCTAAGAAAAAATACATGATAATGGGATAAAAGAGATACAGTTATTGAATTTTCTAACTTCTGAGTTTAATATTAAGTCCAGTAAATCAAGAGACACAAGCTTAAAGGGGCCTGTACCACTATCATGATGGATGTTTCTATATGAATTGGACAAGGTAACAGGAAAATATTACACTAACTTTAGATCACAGTGGCCATTTCGGATATCAATTAAAGCCACTTGGTCAGAACAACAACAATAACTTTTGAACATTAATTTCATAAAGCCAGTATTTTTCTAGTATCTCCAACCAACAGTTAGGGTAAAAGAAGTTGTTTTTCAATTTGCAACCAAGTTCCTGACTCAAGATTTTTTTTGATAATGATAGGTGACATTATATCTGTAAGTTAAATATTGAGATCTTAAACCTTTAATTTCCTCCTATACATCCTTAATGTCACCTTAAGTAAAATAAATCTGCATAAAAAACACTTTCTTAATTTATTATCAGGCCAAAATGACATACGTATGTAAAGTAATTTTCATATGTGTGAAATGTCCTGCTTGACGGACTAGAAGTTTAAATTGTACAGCTGGTATCATCAATTACCTTCAGGCAAGTTGATACATTTAGTGGGCGTTAAGCTATATAGGTACATTATACGTATTTTTGTATTACGTAACCACACATATTTCCTTTAGATCAACCTGGAACCCCATGACATGTACAAAAGCTGATACTTGAGACTTTCCTTACAGACCTAGGCCTGTTCTGCATGAAATTATGTATGTGAAATTTCAGAGACAAATTTGATGTAAAACTGTACTGCACATATATATATATATATATATATATTCTAGTAATGTAACTTACGCAATGATTTGTAACAATTGTTCTGAATTTTGTATCGGTCAAACGGGCGGTGAACTACGAACAAGGATGACTGTACATAGACAACAAATACGAACAGACAGCTTAAGATGTTTACCAGTTAGTAAACACATACACGCTTGCGCTGATGACAAATTTAAAATATTTCCTATTTACCAAATGAACAACGCAGACGTAATCAACCGTGAGGCTAAGGAGGCTGAATTCTTAGACCCCGCTTGAACAGTACTGTTTGATAAATATTTTATAATGTTCTAATTTCATGTTACGTTTAAGGTATAGTGAGTACTACACGAGTTTCGATCTATGTGTTTTATAATTTTTATTTTTGTCTATTGAAGAGTTATGTTTGTAAAGTAGTGACATCGGTAGTGTGTCGGATCAGTAATGTAATGGTCCTGAGTTCGCCCCACACTGACAGTGTTTTTTATTTTTACTTATTTTTTATTATTATTATATTATTTCTTTTGTAAGTAATAGTATTACTAGTTTATCTAAATCCTAAACAAATTGTACTCTTTGCCTCAAGACTATAATTAATATATTTATATTGCTGTGATATCGTTATGGCGGGTACGTATATGGCGTACGTCGTTATAGCGAACTATTATGTGACGTCATAGTTTATGACGTCAATACTTCAAATAAACAGTCTGAAGAATCTCCTAGAAGAGATGAAAGTACTAAAGACTCGTTGTTAAGAATTTTTCTTTATATAATATATATATATA